TGGGTTTTATTTAATTAAATAAATGGGAATCTTACTTGTTACTGTAAAGTCACCAGTTGGCTGGTTTGAATCTTGTAAATATACCAGCAGTCTAAAGAGATTGTGACTGTTATCAAAGAGCAGAACAGACAAGAGAAGCCGCATTATGTCTTTGTTTCTAACTCAAGGGCTTCAGTTTCTAAATGTATTTATTATTCTTGAAAATAGAGTGTTAACCGGCTGATTTGTATCAGTCTGATGGAAGTTGCATGACTAAGTATTTTAAGAAATTTTTCACTTATTGTGAGAGTCTTTCCACCTGTATGATGAAAAGGTAGACCGTGTTGCTGCTCAACTGCATGTGTCCAACTGTATGGTGAACCAACTCTGTTAACCACAGATTTTAGTCAGACAAAGCATCATTGAAGACAATGGGATCAGACACCTTGCTTGGAAAAATGGGAAAAAAGCTTCTTCAGAAACCACAAGAACTTCTAATACCCTATTGAAAAACACATGACTTTTTACCCAGGGCAACTTTTTATTAACTACTTAGGCATGAGGGCTGCTTTTTTAAAGGTGACTTAAACATAAGCGTGGTCAAAAAATATACATGTGTGCTGCAGATTGACTTGATTAGCATCATGCTCTTTATGAAGACAGAAGTCTAGTTTATTGTCCCTCTTGACTAGGAAACCAAAGCCAATTGTTATTTAAAAGATAAAATATAAGCAATTCTGGTTTAAAATCTTCATAAAATGACTGATTGTCTGTTTATTACTCCCCGCTAATCCATGCATTTGAAGGATTAGAAATCCTTCTATTCCAGAAGCTTTACTGAACCTCTTGATGGTACCATGGAGCCCATGAACTGTCCGGCTAGAGCCAGTAGCGGCCATATTTTGACATAAACTTGCACATACTAGTCATTTATGAATCTATGATGAGTAAGGTAATACATTCCTGTAGCCTTCTTTACTTAAGGCTATTCTGACATGGTTTTGTCTTTTTGGATTTCTTTGAAGCAGTAAAGTATATTTTGACTTGGGAGAGGATTACAGAGTATGTTGATTAGGTACTGATGTGTAAAGATTTACTACTCTCTGTAAACTTCCCAAGGCTGAGATGATAAGAAAATAGCATTTGCCTGAAGTAAAAACAGGCTCAACACACGTTGGGGTCGTTACTTGAATGCACTTTCTGCTGCAACATTGTCAGGTATTCAAGGAAATCCACCTTAATTTTTTTTAATTCCTAATACATTGGGCATTTACGTAGTGAGGCAAGATCCTAGACTGGTGATTCTAATTATTTTAGGTTTTTACTGATGTGCAGAGGAAAAATTCAGTGTTTGGTGCCTTATTCTTGTTAAAGTTATAAATGCTAGGGGTCTCAGGAGTGAAAACCTGTTCATTCCTTCTCCATGCATAGACTCTAATTCTACAGCCTTTTTGGCTTCTGTGATGCTCTGTACTTTTCTTTTTTTTTTCTTTTTTTCTTTTTTTAAGAGAACAGCTACTCTGGATCATCTGCTAGCTGCAGACATATTTGTAGTTTGTCACAGGAGGGAATGGGATGCAGGTCCAGAGTGCAACGCTGTCTTGTCTGGTTTTACTTTCTATCTTTCTTTCTTCTTGCTGTGGTTGCCTCCTTTTCTCACTCCATTTCTTTTGGAGAAAATTAAGCTGGACTATTCTGACAGTTTGAGTGGGTTGGTTTGAGTAGTGTGTCAGAGGTGGGGATGGGGAATTAAAGTCAGTGGTCCACCTGGGAGGGAGGAGATGGATAAGTCCTTGGCTTGCAGGACTGCCAAGGGCTGGGGGAGAACCTGTAGGGTTCTTACAAAGTGGATAAAATAATGCGGGGGGTTTCTCTTTATTGATTTGATTTTTTGCTTTGAATTGATTAAATTATTAAATTATGTTTTCACTGCAATCTCTTCCTCTTTTGAGGAAGAAGAAATAAACAGTGTATCTGCCAAAGAGAGCACTGCAGTGCATGGGACCTACTAATTGCTTACGGTTGCTCAGTGACACCCATGCCCTTCATTTTTTTAATAAACCCTACCTGCTATTTTAACCTCCAGTTGACTGGCTTGTGTGGAGCTTCGATGACTGTCTCCACATCCAAGTGTCCGTAACAGTGACTCCAGAGAAGCTCCCCAGTACAAACCATCATGTAAGAGCCAGCAAACACTTATCAGGACTGTGCGGACCCTTGGTCCTTTGGCAGAGATTTCGATGTGGGATGGTTTGAAATCATATAAAATGTTTGAAATGTGTGTTTAAAATCACAGTGAAGTGAAAAAGCAGCCTATTTTACCTAAGAGAATACGGAGAGTCTCTTTGTGGAGGACCTTTGGTGTGGGAGATGTCATTTGATGAACATCTACAGGGGGATGCATATTTAACTGTCTTCACCAAGAATAAAAAAAAGCTGCTGGAAAACTATGTTGCAGGAGCCAGCATTTGCTTTGCTGTGGAAGCTAATTCCTGAATGAGTGTTATAATTTTATTCAGAGTCAGAGTTAACATCAGTCAAGGTTGTTGGGTTTCTCCACTCATAGCTGAGGTAAAATATGGTAAATTGTGGTTAAAAGTAAAATAACAAAAAATTATACTGAGACTCTGGAGGGGTGGACTTAGTCTTTTGTTCTGATACCTAATGTCTGATTTCCATTAGTAAGAAAGAGAGAGGAGTTGTTGAAGGAGGATTTAATGCAAGGTAAGCCTCTGTTTGAGCTGGCTGTTGAACAATCAACGCAAAGGAGAGTGGGGCTGAAGTGTGGGAGAGGCTGCTTAGTTTCGTAGCGAGGCAAGCTGTGTGTTCCTCAGTGCCTTTCCTAGGGATAGCCAAAGCACATACATCGCCTGCACCATGCTTGTCACAGTTCCGGTTTCTCCACTCATAGCTGAGGTAAAATATGGTAAATTGTGGTTAAAAGTAAAATAACAAAAAATTATACTGAGACTCTGGAGGGGTGGACTTAGTCTTTTGTTCTGATACCTAATGTCTGATTTCCATTAGTAAGAAAGAGAGAGGAGTTGTTGAAGGAGGATTAATGCAAGGGTAAGCCTCTGTTTGAGCTGGCTGGGGGGGAA